TCTCTCCACCACACCCACTGCAACCATCATACTCATCACACTCATCACACCCACCTCGGTGCACATCGGACATATCGGACATACTGAACACACCGACAAAACCAAATTGCCTCATATCTCCACCACACCCACTGCAACCATCATACTCATCACACTCATCACACTAATCACACTCATCACACCCACCTCGGTGCACATCGGACATATCCGACATACTGAACACACCGACAAAACCCAATTGCCTCATATCTCCACCACACCCACTCCAACCATCACACTCATTACACTCATCACACTCACCAGACTCATTACACTCACCTCCGTCCATATCAGACACATCGGACACACTGAAATGACCTGATTGCCTCATCTCTTCACCACACCAACTGCAACCATCATACTCATCACACTCACCACACTCATCACACCCACCTCCGTCCATTTCGAGCACATCTGACGCATCGGACACGCTAAACACACCGACAAAACTCAATTGCCTTATCTCTTCACCACACCAACTGCAAAAATCACACTCATCCCACCCACCTACGTCCACATCAGACACATCGAACACATTGAACACACCGACAAAACCCAATTGCCTCATCACTCCACCACATCCACTGCAATCATCATACTCATCACACTCGCCACACTCACCACACTCATCACACCCACCTCCGTCCACATTGGACACATCTGACGCATCGGACACACTCAACACACTGAACACACCGACGAAACCCAATTGCCATACCCACTCCAACCATCATACTCATCACACTCACCACACTCACCACACTCACCACACTCATCACACCCACCTCCGTCCACATTGGACACATCTGACGCATCGGACACACTGAACACACTGAACACACCGACAAAACCTACAACACGTCGTGTTCCTGCCCTGCATGACCCGAATATTGCTAGCAATTAGACAGTAAATTCGAGTCAACAGGGTCGTTTACTCGGCGGCAACCAGCACTGCTTCACTCCTTACTTAATGCTTTCCCACTGAATCCGCAAACTTTATATGAAATATTCTACTTTTATTGTTTTAACTGTGCACTATCGAATAGGAAATGCTGACAGCTGCCAACTTATTTGGCATACATAAAACTCTTATTCCCGATTTTGTGAGAGTTTGGAAAGTTATTTTGTGCGACTATAATCAAGCCAAAACACACGTTTGCACATATGTGGTGTATAATGTATGCGATGTATGATCTATATGATATGATATATTATGTGGGGCCAAGACTTACTTGCAATGTACGTCTTCGCTGAAACCCAAACGAACTAGTGGCCACTTGCCGCACTACCGCAACACGGATACGAGTCCCGTTGGAAAAGCTGATGAGACCAGTTCAGGCAAAGTTGCAAGTACAGTTCCATCCAATCTGGATGGGAATACCCTTTTGGCATGAAGGGAAACATGTTTGTGGGAAGATTCAACTATGCCTCCTTCATCGCTTTATGTAGTCCGGATTTGCGATAGTTGGGAAACCCACATTACACGAGAATGGCAAGAATGAATTTGCTTTATGGACAACAATGCCACCTGAAAAATGTGATAATGAAGCAGTTCAGAGTGTCTTGAAAGTCGAGTCTGCGCTGTTTGTGAGCTACTGACAACCGGTTGTTACTTTAGGCGGCATAAAGTAATTTCAAATGTCAAAAGTTCACTGGAATGCAATTGTTAATGTCATTCTGGAAAACAAATACGAGGCAGTTGTGACAATCGTATTGTGAAAATCACACCCAATCCACACACAGTCTTGACACTCGATCGTGCCGAGCCGAGCTGAGGGAGGCCAGCAAAAATCACACTCATTTCATATGGCCCACCAAACCAAGCAAGTAAGCCACTTATTGTCTCTCCCATATGCTTTCAGATGTGTGAATTGGATGTGGATATTGTGTGAAGAGAATGCGTGTGAAAAATGTGTGACCAAAAGAGTATATTTGTGTCCACTTGCACATGCATCTCTTCACACTCGTCATCTTCGTCTCTCTCCATTCCATCCGCTGTATTCCGATTGTTGTTCCTCTACTTCTTGACTTGTCCCGATTGTGTGAATCATATACTTTTGTTAGCTGTTGCCCACATCTGTGTCTGAAACGCCAGAAGTCGCCTTCACATCAGATCACACTACAAAAGAGGCGTAGCAACAACCAGAGTTGAAGAGAGGATCTCAAACTTGCCGAGAAAACGGTACTATTTACGAGAGTGTTAGTGTCTCTTTCAACATTGTCTCCATGCACCCCTTTCTTCATGTTTCGTTCAACTTTTTCCGGATCTCACGATGCCTCACACATCTCTCCTACCCTAACCAATATTGTACCTCGACCTATTTTCTAAAACCCACAAAAATTGTCATTTAATCCTGCTTCATAGATGGCCTCATCCAAAATATTCCTTCTCTGATAGTACCAGAAATCGGTATTATCGTCATTTCCATTCAACATAATTTAGTCATACAAGCATGATTGGTACATAACTTTAGCCGAAGACCCTAACTTGTGGGCTTCATGAACGCATTTCTGCCAAAGTTGTTGCCTTTTAGACAATTTGTGTCTCGATGTATGGGAAAGTGAGAGGTAGAGCGAGCGGGCCCCATGCAATTGTGCTCACGTCTGTATGTGAATTGGCAAATAGTGATGAATGAGGCCTAGCAGAGTCACACATAAATCCTTAAAGTGAGTCGAGAGGATGCAGAAATCTCTTCTCCACTAGGCATGGGTAAACTGGCCCATAAACAGGGACGATCGAAGTTACATTATTTGGTCTGTACATGTTTTAGTGTCAACAGAAAGCAGTTTATTTTGACATAACTTACATAAAACGTAGAAAGTGTATGTAAAATGTATAAGTCATTTGCTCAAGGATACCATTTCTGTATGATCTTTTATTTTATTTATATCATCTGGATAAAATTCGACGATATATTTGTTGCTGTAATTGTAAAACAATTTTGCTAACCTTATTTCGCATAAAATAAAGCAATTTCATTTGTGAAATACAGTTTTTTTAAGAAGAGCTCCATCAGACCATGATACATCCGTACATTATTATCATTATTATAAACTAATTTATACTTTAAATAAAAACATGGTTCCTTTGATTTTTTATTTTATAAATATAATGCTTTTAATGCATTCATAATATGTTAGCTACAGAACATTTACCACTAAGCATAATACTACTTATAAACGAAAAGTAGGTAATGCAATTATAGTGACTTGGCAACATCTCACGGTGATCTCTCCTCTCCGCTGAACCAATCAGCACGTGACACTAAACGTACCCAAGAGTATTTAAAGTCAGAAACTCCCTTGACTGACACTTTTTGCCCCATTGCTCCCATAGCACCGTCGTCAGCCTCTGAGACTAAACGCTGCCACCTTGCACCAACATCACATTCCATCATCTTATGTGTTTTTCCCACATCGAGCTCCTCCCCCTCAACTTTCCTTTTCATATACAA